GAGAGAGAGAGAGAGAGAGAGAGAGAGATAGAGAGAATTAGAGTGTGTATATTCATTACAATACCAAGTTCATAGTTACCGTGTTTTAAGATAAAGAGATCAAATCTTTCAACAGTTTAAAATGACACCATACTTGTAGAGAGTTCTGAGATAAGCGCCATTCAATTCAACACCAAAGTCGAAATAAATTAGAGGCTATACAAAATAGTTTTGACTTACTCGCGTTAATAAAGATGTCTTTCAAGTTCAAAATGAAATGGAAGGTTCTGTTTCTTTGTTGTATTTTGGTCCCATTCATTCATATGTTAAGCTTTCTTAAGCTCTCATTTTGTCGACCCCCGCCCGTATACTCTTAATTTCCCTTATATTCTCTCAGATTCTCTGACAGTCTTTCAAATCTCTCCTATTTTCTCACAATACTCTAGAAATGGTGTACCAACATACTCTCCATGACATCTCTAAGTTCTCTCCTCCCCACACCGTCATCTTGTCGTCATATCCGCCAAGGTGTAAGAAGTACTTCCTGTCGATGGCGAAAGCTGCTCCGACCATGGTCGCACCCCTATAGAAACGAAATCTAAAGATTAATTTGTACTAGACTCAATATCACAGGGGGGAAATGGTCTTAATGAACTGAAGACTAATTTTGAACACAGATGACAGTTTGCCCGCTTTACGATTAGTTTTGTTTAACATATTCCAGGGTTTGAAACGTGCAGAGAAGAACGAGTAGCATAACACCGACGGTGAATGTGGATTGTCATCGCGGAGGACAGATTGTTGTCAGATCTTTGTAAAGGTTGTTATCAGGTCCTTTTCAATTTTGTTATCATGCTCTTGTTACGGTTTCTGTCGGACGCTTGTGTGGCTGTAAGATTTAAATTCAATTAGATTACAGGAAACGAGGTCTTGAGAATTATAGATTTATTGGTTCTAAAACAAGTGAAAGAAAAATATCTGAACACATACAAATATCGTTCAAGTTATTTAAAGTGACCAATATTTAATTTTAAATAAATAGCGATAAACGGGATGGATTATTATGGAGTTCTCCCGGTTGGTGTTTCTGGGGTAGCCGGCTGGTTCATCACTAGATTAAAAAAGTCTCGGGGGTGCTGCTTCCCGGCTACTCCCGTCTGAGGTGAGGATTGGTGAATAAGGATTCCCAGGGCAACCATAAGAGCTCCTGCTCGGGTAACTGATGCCATTCCTTGGGAATAATCATCCCGACTCTGGCTTGCATTTTAATGTTTTCTATGGCGGAAGAAGTTGTAATTTTTGTCCGAAGATTTTTCCGAAAATGTGTTCAGAGTGATTTAATCATTATTTAACATAGACTTCGTCACATACTTGTTCAATCTAATTTACCGAAAATTTTTTATAAAACAAGATGGGCGCTGTTCGTCTTATTTGAAACGCTGGTGTAATTTCGCTGGAGAAACTTCATTCGTTGATTTCAGTGATGGCCTATTATTATTAGTAATTGGCATTTTATATTCATAAACATCTACACTCGCAATTGAAGAACAAGGAAGCTGCAAAGTATCTCAATAATATTTATCTTCTTCTTCTATATTTTGAGGCCCCACGATCAATGGATTAATCAATCTGGCTCCTATAACTTCATTCAACGAAAAAACTATAAAAAACTCTAGATTAAAATGGCTTTGAGGGAATCATCCTCCCTCTCCAAATAATCCGACACTAAAAATTTACAAGCAACCAGCTGACTACACATACAAGAACCAAATATTGCCACAACCACCAACTCACCACAAACACAACCACCAACTCACCACACACACAACCACCAACTCACTCTCTTGGGTTCCTGGGATCGCCTCCTACTTGATCATCTCTAAAGGAGTTTTCAAAAAATATCAGCCTCCAGTTCCAGCCGTATCGTGGAAGGTAGTTGTCATAGTACTTGTAATGTAGAGTATTGGGCTGCACGTAGTCCAGAGTTGCCATGGCGACCACCGAACTGTTTTTAGCTATTTCCGTCAACAAGGGCTCTAGCCTGGAATTTTTTGTAAAAAATGACATGCTGGTGATTTGAGCTATTTCACCTTTCTATATATTTGTGTCTAAACTCTGCAATAAAATGTTATTTTTTAAGGCTACATTAAATTATGAAGTATGTATGAAGTATTTATTTACCACTCAATGTTGACTTCCATATGACTGTCGAAGAAGACCAGCACCTCGCCTTTTGCCTCAGCGCTGCCACGCATGCGTGACTTGGTCAGTCCCACTCGTTCTGAGTTACGTACCAGACGAACAAGTCCCTGGGGGAAGTTGTGTGTGACGTAGTCCTCCAGTGACTCGTGCAGCTGTTCTGTAAACTTAGGATTGGGTTTATCATGTAACAAAATATTTGTTCCATCCGCAAGACGTGAGTCGGCTTTGCTACAACTTAATGAATAACTTGATTTATTTGATATAGACTCTATTTACTGTACAACGCATTGCAAAAATGATGTTAGTAGTAGTGAAATTTAAAAAAAACAACTTGTATCATACTTTATAAATTCTAATTGGTAATTTAAAGCTATGACTATTTCATATCAACTGAATAAATAACATGTTTTAGCAACACAATATTTATTTTTAACTTACTCTGATAAAAAAAATGAAAATATATCCTATGAAATCATTTATTTTTTTAATCCTTTAAATTAACTTTGCTTTTGTTAGTTGCTGGCAAAATCGTCAAAAGGCTAACTGACCCACTTCCCGTCAACCTATGGCGCTGAAACTTAGCACATGGACTCGTTACCGATGACATTATATTATCAAATTTTCAGACCCCCCCCCCCATTTCTGTATATTACATTTTATAAATAATTGATACAAAAACTTTAAAAAAAAATTATATCGTTAATTATGCATGATGTTAATCAGCTGACTAGACGAGACGTGACAGCGTCATTGTATGCTGCGTTCAAAGTAGACATTCCATTGACGTGAACCACCGTTTTGATCAATCAAACACTTTGAAATCCACATCAATCTGACCTAGTGTGCTGGCATCATCTACCAGTAGG